CCCTCCGCACGCGCCGGCAGCAGGGTTGCCAGCGCTCCCGCCGCCTTCGGTGGCAGCAGACCCGCCGCCCGCGACGGCAGCAGGGCACGCGGGCATGTTGCAGCTGGGCGCTGCAGCGAGCGCCTCCGACAGCAAGCAGAGCCTTTCAACCACGCAGGCTGCCCAGCGTCTCGCCGACGCCTTGAAAGCCCGCAAGGACGCAGAGAACGATGACTTCGGGGAACCTGCAGACGGCGGCGCCGACGGAGCTGCCGCGCCCAAGCCCAAGCCTAAGAGCAAGGGCAAGGGCAAGGGCAAGGGCAAGGGCAAGGACCCGAAACCCGCGCCCAAGGCCCCGAAGCCCGCAGCCCCGGCGACGAAGTCCAAGAGCACCGAGGCCCCGAAAGCCCCCGCGACGAAGTCCAAGAGCACCGTGGCCCCGAAGGCCAAGGCCAAGGCCAAGGCCGTCATCAAAAGCATCACAAAAGTCAAAGCTGTCAAGACAGAGATCCGCTCCAGGGTCACCTTCCCCGGGCTTCCGACCGAGCCTACTGCACCAATATTCGTGGGCGAGTACAAGGTGTACACAGACATGACCCAGAAGGCCTGGCGGGCGCTCATGCCCGGGGGGGGCCAGTATGACAGGAACGACAAGAAGTTCAAGTTTACGGAGGATGAGGCTAGCGCCCGCCAGGTTTGGAAGAAGCTTCGTGAGTATTGCAACGCATGAGCATTTTTGCTGTATAGAGTTGTTCCGAGTACATGAGTTCGCGTGTTTGACGCGTGCGAGCCGCCTGACAGATGCTCGCGCCTCGACGTCGTGGATTCGTGGATTGCTCCTGAAGGCTCACCTCAGGCGGCTGCGCTAGGCAGCTGAAAGCTCACCTCAGGCGGCTGCGCAAGGCAGCCAGGAGTTCCGCGCGAGTGAAATCCTGCTCGTCCAATCCTGTCCCTCCTCAGCCTCCTGGCCTCCCTCCCCTCTTCCTCCTCGCTCCCCTCCTCCTCCTCCTCCTCCTCCTCCTCCTCCCTCCCCTCCTCCTCTCCTCGCTCCCTTGCCCTGGCCCAATCCCCGCCGTGGGCCGCCCATGAGCTCGGTCACGCTCTCGAGGCCCTGGGATCCTCCCTGCGGGGTCGTCGTCGTCGTCGTCGTCGTCGTCGTCGTCTCGTCGGGGCCCCGTAAGGGGCCCCTCGAAAAACTCACCAGGATGGGACCCGGGACCCCGCAAGGGGTCCCTCAAAATATTTTCCAGGATGGGACCCCGTAAGGGGTCCTAAAACCCTTAGGCCGATTTTTTGGGGATCGCCCAAGTCGTCTTCGTCGTCGTCGTTGCCGCCGCCGCTGGGGGGCGAGGGAGGGAGAAGGACAGGGAGAGGGCAGGGGAGGGAGGAGGGAGGAGGGGGAGGGGGAGGGGACATGAGGGAGGAGGAGGGAGGGAGGAGGGAGGAGGAGAGGGAGAGGGGGGAGGGGGGAGGCGAGGAGGAGGAGGGGAGGGATGAGGAGGAAGAGGATCCCCCCTCCCTCCGCTTTCCTCTTCCTCCACCCACGTCTGGGCAGGACGGATATAAAGTGCCACTATAATCTATAGGCCGCCGCCATTCCGCCGACCCCATCGGTTTGGTATGCTATGCTGTGCTATGACGTGCTATGCTGCGCCATGTTGCGCTATGGTGTGCTATCTTGTGTTCTCTGGGCAGGACGGATGCTAATAAGGCTGCAACGCCATTCCGCCGACCCCGTGCGGTTTGGTATGCTATGCTGCGCTATGCTGCGCCATGTTGTGCTATGGTGTGTTATCTTGTGTTATCTGGGCAGGACGGGTGCTATTAAGGCTGCGCCGCCATTCCGCCGACCCCGTGCGGTTTGGTATGTTATGCTGTGCTATGCTGTGCTATGCTGTGCTATGCGGTGCATAGCTCGTCATCCGTCCGTCCGCCATCGTCGTCGCCGTCGCCCCTCGTCGTCGTCGTCCGTCGTCGTCGTCCTCGTTTCGGCGTCGTCGCCGCCGTCGTCCGTCGTCGCCGTCGCAAGCCCGAGAAATACATGAATCAACGGAAGGTCCGTACGTATATATATATATATATATATATATATATAAATTATGTCAGGGCGCTTCGCGCATGGCACGGCCAGCATTTATAACCGCGCTTCGCGCACGGCACATGCCCCCGCAATTGCGGGATCGGGCCCCGAAGTCTCGGCGAGAACTTCACGGGCCCCCGACGAAGGATCAAAAAACAATGAATACTTTCGGGCTGAACGCTTCTGTGATTAAATCCTGAAACTCATGTGCCACTTAAAAAACTTATGAAAAGTTATGAAAAGTTATGAAAAGTTATCAACTAGTTAACAACCTGCCAACCACTTCTGACATTTAACGAACATACTATCTGGATGCGATCCGAATTCTATTCGGATGCATTGATGTTAAAAACAAATTTCAACCGTTTGTCAAATGATCAGCGCGTAAGTGGTACAAGAAGTTAAAGGTAGCTTACAAGAGGTGATCTGCACCCCTGGACCAAAGAAGGAGATGGGCACGAACGCGACCGTCATCATCGAGGGCGACAGCACGGCTTCAAGTGGCATCCGTTCGCGGCTCGGCACGCGACGGATCGGGCATCTAGACGCGAAAAACAATCGGCTGCAGGAGAGGGTTCACGACGAGGAGGATCGGCACACAGACCAACGCGGCCGACCGTCTGACGAAGGCCCTGGACCCGAGGAGGCACCACGAGCTGATGGGGATGTTTCCCATAGCCCCACGCACCGCGAGGGGCTACGTGGGATTCGACAGGGCAGAGGCGTTCCAAGTGATGCCGTCGGTGAGGTGCGCCAACAACGCTGCTCTTCTCGGAGCGTGGCCCTGACGAGCTAATCTCGCGCAGTGTTTAGCCGAGCCTGGAGCCGTGCAGCATGGCGCCGACACGGTTTTCTCTTCCGCCAGGGCTTACGAAGGAATTTCTCCACAGCCTCTAGCGAAGAAGATGATTGAGTTTCTGCGAGGGGTCTTTGCGCCCGAGGCCGCATGCAGCCTCGAGCGAGGAGGAGCGCCAGTCATTTCTCCATTTCAGACGCGAATGTTGCACTTGTACCATAGCCCCTCGCAGGCTCAAAAGAGAACAGCTTCATACCTTTTATTGAAACTTCCGCACCCCGCCGCCCAGATTGGGCAATCGGACCAAAAACCAGGGCATCAAGGCCACGAGAAGCCACGCAATGCAAGATAGACCTTGCGATAGGCAATACTACACCCTTACGCAAAGCAGTGCGATGCCCCCGAGGCCGCGCAGTGGAGCATTCCATTTCGAGCGGTGAAGAGCGATAACGTTCAGATTCGAACCCTGCCGTTGAGCGCCGGGGCCACCACAAGCCAAGAAGGGCCACGAGGCGACGGGACCACGGGGCAGTTTTGTCGACATGTGCATCGCAGACGGAGTTGGCACAGTGAGGCCCACAAGGGGCCATGAGTCCGCACTGCTGCGGCGAGTTCATCCATCGTCGGCCTCCCAGGGAGCTCCGATTAGGGGGAAGGGTACGCAGATGAGTGCGATGAGAGAGGGGCGGAGCAGAGGATTCACAGAAACTTTGCCAGACAGCGCTTGGCATTCCACCGCGCTTCACCGCGCCAGGGGGCGTTGCCGGGCATCGGGGGCCCGGCGGCCCCAGGGGGGGCACAGGCAACAGGGCCAGACCACCCGTCGCTCCCAGGCAGCGAAGCCGCCAGCGCAGGGCTTTGCCGCCCGCACGGGGTGCTGCGTCGGGAGCGCGCCCCATCAGCGGGCGGCGAGGGGTCGCGGTGGCCTCGCGGGAGTCCTGCGCCGTGCTTTCGGGCGCCGTGGCCGCGAGGGGCCACGAAGCAGCGACTTCCAGGGCACCAGGCCCGCAGCCAGGGCAGCGGAGGAGGGGGGCGGCGCGCGCGAGGTGGCATCCGCCCCCGGCAAGGCTTGCTGCACCCTGTGCCTCGCACGCGGGCCAGCGGGGCCACGTGGGCCACGCAGCCGCGACGGCCCACGAGGGGCCATGCAGGCATAGGATATCGGACGGGGCGGCCAGAGCAAGGATCGACATGAGGAGACCCGATTTGGGGGGGTGGGGTCCTGGAGGAATCCACCGTGGAGGACGCCACTTTGCTTATTCATCCTACCGCACCCTACGGGTGATAAGGAGGTTGGGGGGAAGGGGGAGGCGGTCGATTTGCGATGGCTCTGGGTTCTTTGGTGGTTTCTTCAACTGTTCTTACTCTCGCGCAAATCTGCCCACATATCTGTCGACCTATATATCTAGTTATCGATTGTGGAACAACCGTCTATATATACGTATATATATACCGATATTTATATATATATATATATATAGATCAGACGAGCAGTCTACCAATCGATTAATCAATCAAGGATCCAACGAATTTACATGTATATTTCTATAGACCTGTATGTGCATATACAAGTTAGGTGTAGTTGTGTACATATATATGTATATGTATACATGTCTATATACATGTGTCTAAATATAAACATATATATATATATATATATATATATATCAACCATCGGGGCAACCATCCAGACAACCATCGGGACAACCTATAACAACATCTGTAGATCCATCTATCGATCAACCATCGGGACAACCATCGGGACAACCATCGGGACAACCATCGGGACAACCATTGGGACAACCATTGGGACAACCATCGGGACAACCATCGGGACAACCATCGGGACAACCATCGGGACAACCATCGGACAACCATCGGGACAACCATCAGGACAATCACAACCATCGGGACAACCGCCGGGACAACCGCCGGGACAACTGGGGGCCACGCCCGGCGCTCGAGGGGGCGGCCCTTCTAGCAATAGATGGCCTCTACGAAGGATGCAACTCGCGCAGTTTCGCCTCGCCCGCACCCACGACACGAACCGAAACCGAAACCGATTTCCCGGTTGGGGCCACTTCCGTTCCAACCCCCCAACCTCCGATCTCCATGGTGTGTGTTTGCCCCCTCTCTCGCAAGCACCTTTGCTCCATCTCTCACCAGCGTGCCGTGTCAAGCCGATGTGGCACAAGCAGTTTGCCGCGGAGCCATGGGGCGGCACTGCTTCGTGACCGAAGTGAAAGAGGGGAAGATCGCGGAGTACCTGCAGTACCACGACAACATCTGGCCCGAGGTGGTCAGGGGGCTCCGCGCTGCAGGCGTCAAGGACCTCGTTATCTTCAGGGTGCCTGGTACTCGAAGGCTGGTGCTGCAGATCACGACGGCCGGGGACATCGACCTGGGGGCGGCCACTGGTCCAGGGAGCCATTACCGCAAGGACCCTAGGTTCATCGGCTGCAGAACTTGGTGGCACCCATGCGAGCAAGGGTATTGTCCACGATTGTTGTAAAGCTCTTCTTGAGGAGCTAAGTTTCGTTACGGTTGATTGCACACGCGATTTGTAGTGCAGTGGTTTTTGTTTGGGTCGTTGTGAAACTTGCAAGCGCCTGATTTCCGATGTTCGAAAAGTAGCGTGCCTCCCGCCACCCCTTCCCGACCGTTCTTGCAAGCACAATTCTATAGTACCTGCACCTTGCAGGTGCAAGGAATGGGAGGAATTGATGGACTCTGACTTTCACGGCGGCTGGACAGAGTGCGAGGAAGTCCGCGCCAGCGACCGCGAGTGGAACACCGCGCTTGGCGCCCAAGCGAGGGCACGGGTCGGCGACGAGCTTCCGGCCCCGAAGCGCAGCAGGGCCGAGTGAGACCTAGTTGTCAGGGGCCAAGCTGGATATGCACGCGGCAAGACCTTCGGCAGTTCCGGCGGCGTTTCGTTCCGAGTCTGCCCAGAGCTCTTGCTGGTGAGTTGTCGAGGCACGTCCGGTGGAGACGCAAAAA